GCTGCGAAGTTTTGGGTTCCACAGACCTTCCATTCATACTCAATGCTCCAGGTTTGGGCAATGCTTGGCTCTGGCCTGGCTTCTTCGCTAGCACGGGGGCAAGGCAAACTCTTCAACTCCGCCAGAGGCTTCAACCAGAAAGCCGAAGAACCCCTTCCCGATGCATCCTCGTTCGACATGTCAGCAACTGCTACGCCGTTGATAGCCGCAATCTCCTCTCCTCAGATGAAGGAACTGGGCACTCGCTGTCTCATTTGGTCGTAGCCAACAGCTCCAGGCCGACACCACCGCCACCCACCCGACATGGTTTAAGTTGCGATGATGGTCTTGAAACCCAAAACACGGTGAATAACATAAACCCAATGAACCCTCCTCAACTGTCGAGAGCCAAGCCTTGAACCCAGACATCGGAAGAACTCAAGCTCCCACCGTCTCGAGAGATGACTCCTTATACTGAACATACTGGTCTCCGACTCCATCGCACATGTTCAGGCGCGGTGCCACCTTGGAATCCCACCGTGGCCGCCCAACTCCCAGGGGCGACCTCGTAAAGAGTCTAAGGACATTAACATGCTACCTCCACCCACAACTAACATGCGGCCGGCTCCTCGCCTTGCTGACAACCAGAGGCTCCGGGGGTAGGGCCTTGAACGACCTCAGTTCATTTCCGAAAGCATAGGCCGGAGTGAACCTGACTGTGCTTTGGAAAAACTCAGCTGCGGACAAGCCGATCTTTAACACCTCCTCACCGGCTTCGACCTCCTCAAACTCCTCGGGCAATCTTCCCATCATCGACTGACCCCAAACATGGCAAGAAGGCGGGCGACCTTCTACGCGTGGACCATACATGCATACAGGCACAGCAGGCAAGCTACTGCATAGTCAGTTACCGAGGGCCCTGCAGATGCTTGGAACCTGCAATCTGTCTCAGCTGACTTGCGAATGGTCTCAACTATCGCAATCATGGGGGTGCCTGATGAGTAAGGGCCGCGACTTCAACACCGACTTGAACCGCTCACCTTTGCTGGTTGGACACATCCGTGGGAACCCAAGACATTAAAAAAAACTGATCCGTGCGCTCTCTTTCTCTTTCAATCGCGCAGAGCAAATCCACAAGTGAGACTACTCGCCAGCAACCTTTTCAGCTGGTCAACGTAAAACCTCTGAACCGACCCAAATTTTCCTATGTTGAGCTAGAGGCTGTAGAGTCCTCCAAAGGTCTGTGTTACCAAAATATCTGGAATGCGTTGCCGCCAACTCTCGCTCCGTAGGATGATGATATATGTCGTGGTGTAATTGGTCAGAATCTGTTGCCTCTGATGGGCCTGGGTCATAGTGAGTTCGGCCCAATGTATGCGAGGATGGCCGGGTCGCCTCGTATGTGATTTACGACATGCATGTGCGGTTTGAAATGTCGATATATGTTCAAGAGAATCGGCGTGTCGAAGGATGTGGCCTACATATGATATTCGGGAAGGTCAAAGTTTAGGAGCGGATTCATAAGCTAATTGGGAAAGGTATTCGTTGGAACAATCTGCATCGGAGGGTTCGACAACTTTGTGGTAGAAGGAGCTTTTAATGCTTAAAATTTGTCGTAAGACCTTATAGTGTAATTTGCTTAGCTTTGTGACGTGTGAGCGGAGATAAAACTGCGATTCCGAGCCATACAGCAAAATCGCCAACACAATCTGGGAGTAAACTAAGGCGGCATATCGTTTCTTGGCATCCGCCTTGGATGATGGGTTATAAGTTGGCATGGCTCCCAGATAATCCACGTGAAGTTTGGGATCTGTTCGTAGCTCTTTAGGCAGATATGGGTCATGTTTGGAGAAATCACACTGGGAAGGGAAGTGCGGGAAATCTATTAAGTAGATGGAGAGATCAGAGTTGATAGTAAGTAGTTGACACTTTTCATGGTTAAGGGACATGCCCCTCTTTACCGAGTGGGCCTGTAAGGTATGGAGAAACCGGTGTAATGATAATCTTGTTCGGGAAAGTAGTACCGCATCGTCCGCATATTCCACATGTGTTAATCTGAATCTGACGTGAGAACCGAGGGTCGGGGACCGTCGTACGTGGCAGTATAAGCCTCATATGTATCATGGAAGAGCACGGACGAGGCAATTATAAACAGGTAAGGTGACAATGGACATCCCTGACGGATGCCTTGCGCAATTTTTTTTGCGGCGAGACTCGTAGCCGGAGTCCTTGACCGTAAAGTGGCAATCTTGGTTTATAAACAATATCGGATCAGCGAACTTTTGCGGCACTCCCATGCGGAGCAGCGGATTTCTTAGCGCTGAGTGCGCTACCGAATCAAAGGGCGCGAAAACCGACCTGAATCGGAGAAATGCGATCGTCGATGGCCGCTTTGAGGCGGGATTGTAACAAGCACGCATAGACTTTATAAACCAACCGTGTTGACTAAACAAATGGGGCGGTAACTTGTAGCAAGAATGGGGTCCTTTTTCTTGCCTTTAAAAATCTCACAATGTTTGCTACTTTCCATGATGAGGGGGAGTATGGTCTCAAAAAGGCCTTGTTAAAATGTGGCAAGAGTACTTTACGTCCCTTTCGAGGGGCATATTTCCATATTCTTGCAGGGTTTATTGGCCTTGGTTGACACTTGCCCATTAGGTTTGCGAATACCTGTGTGCGTGGGGCATAGTCACAGTCTTTTCCGAGATATTTCAAGGTGGACCATTGTTTCGAGGGTGGGCCTTTACTGTTCTGCAGAAGATTATTGCACAGATGAGTGTTTGTTATCCTTCCTGGCCCGGCGCTTAACGGCTTTGCGTAATTGCTCTGGAGGAACGCGTGGTCCTCAGGTGGGGCTGTTGCTATACGATCGATAAGCCGTTTAGTGGGATCAGATAGATACTCGCGCATGTAAGTTGGTCTTGTTTGGTTCTCGGAGCAGCTTTGATTGCCGCCTTACGTAAAATGGTGGCTTGTTCATCGAGGGAAAGAAGGTCAAAGGCCGGGGGACTAGCAAGCATAATGGTTTCACGGAGTTGTGCGCGCGCCAAGTGGGAATGCCTTCCAATGCTCGAGGAGTGCGTTATGCCACGCTTGGCTAAAGTGTCAGCGCGCTCGTTGCCTATGTCCTTCAATTTTGAGGAGCTATATATGAATGAGTGGCAGGAGGTGCTCGATGACAGTACGGATTTGGGTGACGAGGTACCGGGCTGTTTCGGGATGGCGAATCCAAGTAAAAAATCACAGGCTAGTTGAGAATCGGTGTAGAGACGAAAGCGTTATTTCCTGGAGCTATAGTCCAAGGCCTCCATGAGGGTTTGCAGTTCGGCCGTACTGTTTGAACGTCACGTTTTGCCCCACGGGGCCCCAAACATCTATCCAGGAAGTCCCATGTTGGATAGTAAAGCCCCAACCGGCTGGGTTTCCCACAGATACGTTGTATTGGTTTGGGCAGGACCCGTCCGACGTTCGTGGCTTCAGGTATTGGGTGGGAGCACAATGCGTGGGTTTTGGATTTTAGTGCCTGTGAGATGTGAAGTTTTCGGCAAATGCCTGTTGGAACTTTACTTGATCGTCTTTGGTGCGTGGTGGGGTAATTGTAAGTGGTGGTTTCTTTGGGGGTTTACGGAACAAATCAAATGAGATCGTAAAAGAAGAGGGGAAGTGCCTGTGGAACCAAGGCATAGTCCACGTCGGTTTGGTGCACGTAGCCCTGACGTTGTGGAGCGCGTTTAATGGGGTGGTCTAGACACGCAAAATCCGCGTTGATAGGTTGTGTCGGGTTACCCTCGGGAGAAGCGGAAATTTCCCTATAGGATATCAGTTTGGAAACCGGTCTGGTATGGATAGTCGCTATCGACCATAAAGTCCAGCAGTTTAGAATAATTGGTGGTATAGGTATCGTCTGCAAGCGGGCCGCTGAGGAGCACCGCTTTGCCTATGTGCGTAGAGATTTCCTCCAAGTCAGTGGGAATGATTCGGGCTTTTAAATCGCCCATATCTATGATAAGCGCAGGTCTGGAGAGGTTGTCATGTACGTCCTTTAGTTCATCCCAAAACTTGCAGGTCGGTCAGCAAAGTTGATATCCAGATCAACTAGCTTGGCTTCAAACTCAATCATGTCTTCCTCGTCTTCAGTCTTCGGTTTCTTTGGTGGGGAACTCGGCAAAGCTTTGGCCTTGGCCTCTTCTTTTTGTCTTTGCCATTCACGGAAGGCTGTTAGCTCATCTTGTGCAATCTCTGCGGCAGGCGTACTGGGCGCACGCAGTGATGTTCCCGCCTCTGGCGGCGGTGGAGCTTCTGCGCCTGGGGTCTCTTGGGACTCCGGCTCTTCTTTCTTTGCCATGGCTGCGTCGGCCATGGCTGTTGAAATTAGGAAAAGCTTACGGGGAGGGGCACCAGCTAGAACACATCAGACCTAGAAGAAAACACGCTGTGAAAAGCAAGTCGGGCACGGGACTGCGGAAGTAAAGTCCTAGTCCGAGCTGTGAAGACTGCGAGGCACTTGCGCAACTGCTGCGCGGGCGGCGGGTCCTAGGACCCTTCTCTGTGCTTGTGCCAAAAGCCTACTGATCCATACTGCACGGTGTAATTCCGGCATGGTACAGCCGAGCCTAGGCTGGTACAGAACCGATTCGCATTCATGTTCGTGGAGTGCAGCATAGTGCTCAAAACATGGCGCAGAACATGTGGCATGACCCTTACCACAGAGTGGCTATTTGTTGGCCTGTGGTTGACTGCACAGGTCTGAAGTCTGTTTAAGCGACGTGGCAATTGCAGGAATTGTGGCATTGCAACTGTGCAGTTTGCTCACTGCCGCTGCTTGACTTCTGCACGTTATGATACGGTATGTCATTCTATCAAGCACCATGGCAATTGCATCTGATGTCCACGCATGCTTAGGGTGTCGACCTGGCAGATTCAAGCACCACGCAAAGGGCATCAGCTTTTACGCAGCCGAGTGTGTGGACTTGGCTGGTTTCAAGCATCATTTGTGGCAAGCTGATGAGCAGCTGAGCTGCTTGTCATGGAGGCCACGTCCTCGTCGTTGAGGGCCAGGATCTCTTCACCTGGACTCTTCATCACTCCCTGTTTTTCCGAAACATCGCGGAATCCAGGGACTGGCGACTTCTTGCAGCCGAAAGAGCCTCCGATGAAGCCCACGGACTCAGCCCAGGTGCCAGCAGCCACCTTGTTGACGACGACGGGCTCGGGAGGCAGGTTGTGGAAGGACCTCCAGCGCAGCGCCGCAAAAGGGAAGTCGGGAAGCTCCGAAAACATCGAAGCCAAAAAGGAGGCCCGGGCAATCCGATTTTTGACACCTCCGGGCCAACCTCAACTTCCTGGACGAGGTCATCCTGCTCGTCCTCCTCCTCCTGCATGCCGTGCATCACTGGTAACATCAGGGCCTGCAGCACCTTCTGAATACCAGATGGCTATCGGGACCAACGAGGTATCATGAGCTTCTCACTGGAAAGGCACCGTGCGCCATGGCCAAACGGAACTGCACCAGAACTGCACCAGAACTGCACCAGATCGCGCTATTTAGTCGACGATGCTCGAAGACAGCGTCAGGGAAGTCTGCACCGAGCTCTTGCTAAGGCCACGGCTTCTGCAGGCTGCTGAAACCTGCAAGTGCCGCTAAAATTGGGAGTAGTCAATCTGACCCACTCGGCACTTGAAAGCCACAATCAAAGGCAGGCAGCAGGCATCTACCTTCCCCTTCATGTTGTGAGTTTCCACACGAAACCCTCGAACTGCCCATCGTAACAACGTAAGTCCGTAGAAGTGTCCGGTCCCATAGCCAAGCAAAGCTCACGAGGCCTTAGCACGAGGGGTCTTACGCGAAGCGCCGCCTTAAAGTCCTGCAGGTTTTAGGCTTTGAAAGGCTTTGTATACCGGTTTCAGAAGAGTCTCGGCAGTAGAAAGGTGCAGTTGAGAAGAGGCTGGTCTACCAGATTCGCAGCCTACCGGCTGAGGTGCTGCAGGCTTGGTGGAGGGGGTTCCTGGGTTCGGGTTTGGGCGGCCGCTGGGACTCTGTGGTTTGCATCGTGTTCTCGAGCGGTGGGGCTCGGGTTGCGGCGGACTTTGGCGGCGGAACGTGCTCTCCACATCTCCCCTTCTTTATCACGGCTACTGCATCCTCCCACTGCCTGCCATTCTCACCGTTTGAAATGGCACTGTGGTGCATATGTTTGCTCCTTCTTTTCTTCGGCTATCACCGGCACCAACTCCTTGCAGGGCACTCCTCGCTGGACATGGCGATGGTCGATTCCCCGTTCACCACGATGATCTCCTCTCCTGCGCAGGAAAGCCGAGGGCCGAGGGCCAATCCCCGCACCTCCAAGCTCAGAGCTCCTCCCAGGAAGCCGACCGACTCTGCCCAGCCGCCCGTAGCGACCTTGTTGACGATCACTGGCTCCGGAGGGAGGCTTTGGAAGGACCTGGGTTTCAGGGAGGCAAGAGAGCAGGCGTCATCACGGTCCAGCCGCGCCAGAGGGCGTCGTGCAGCAAGCGGGACGAGAAGTAATAATCGCACAAACCTACAGAAAGCTCTCTTTTTGAGCATTTCCTGGGAAGTGGAGCCCCGGAATCTTCTGTCAATAGTCAGCTGCATCCTGAATGCAACACCTATCACCCCAGTTGCCCAAGAGGCCGGTGCATTTCAAGTTTGGCTTGTGTTCGACCTCTTCGCCGACAACATGAGTCAACTTGCATGGACCATGGTCCAGAACATACCAAGGCAGCAAGCCCACCGGTCGTGCAGTCATAAACATTCCGAGTGCAATTTTGGGGTGCCCGGCATTCCAAGTTTGTCGACGTCCGAGCTTGCCACTGCGGCTTGTAGAGGCTCCTGACATCGCTGGAAGCGACGATTGGGCTCTTTCTTTTCACGCCGCGTGCCTCCTCAGGATCGTCCGAGATTCGGAACCTGCTCGGAAACGCCGCGAAGCGGCTTAACATCAAGAAACTGCAGGAGCCGTGTCCAAGAGGCCTGAGAGTCAGCGGCCGTGCTTCGAGGGCTGCCCGGAACTCCTGCAAAGCCCAGGGCTCCGATCTCTGCAGCATGCCTTCTACCAGACAGTGGCAGTGCTCTCCTGCTGCCTCATGGTGGCGACGTCAAGTCCGTTGATGGCCACGATCTGCTGTCCTTGTCGACCCCGGATGGCCATGTGCAGCGAGGGGTCTCATGAAAGTGCAAGCTCCATGTTCTGTGTGAAGACAATGCGACCCGAGGCTCCGCCCTGGATGCCTCTATCGGAGCCCCAGGTGGCAGGCGCGACAGTCTGCACCACCACTGGCTCCGGTGGCAGGGACTTGAAGGACCTGGGAAGCGAAAGGAAGGGCACGTTCGACGAGTGTCTTCTGCCTTTGGGGCTCCTGCAGGCCGATCTTCTGCACCTCAGGTCCCGCCTCTGCATCTTGCAGCTCGGCCTCGGAGGAAGAGAGTCCAAAGCCAACGGAGCCAAGGAGCTCTCGGGGGCCCTGGCCCGGATGGTCACCTTCACCGGCATCCGCCTTTGCAAAGCATTGAAAGCGCGCGAGGCTTCAGAACACACGACGCCAGCCCACGCACCAGTTGGCCACCAATGCTTGTCTTCTGCCGCTGTCATGAGGCAGGAAACCCATACATTATTGGTGAAACCCAGAACATGGCATTTCGCCAATCCTGGATAATCTTCTGGGCAGGAGCCGCGATGTCGCTCAGTGTCATCATGAGCAGCACATCTGACGTGCTCGGTCTCGTCATGCTTTCGGATCGAAGTCGTCAAAGTCACCAGTAAACTCGACAGTGTCACCCTCTCTCACTCCGACATCTGCCAAGGTCAGATGTGGGTACAGGCGCTCCCTGTAGGCTTCACCACCCTGCCGCCGGAAGACGTATCCACCCTGGGATCGGATGGAGGTCGTCAACGTTGGCATGCCCACTTCCTCTCCGAATTTCC